TTATGCGTTGGCCAGAACTGGCACTGACCCACAAAAAGGGGGTGCTGGGAGTTCTGGCTTATGAATAGGGTTCCATGTTTTGGGTGTTTTTTAATTTGTGAGTATTACCTGGCTCAGTGAGCAAAAGAAGAGCTGTGATCAAAGGGTGCAGCCAAAAGCTGTAACCAAAAGTTGTGTCCAAATGCCGTGACCAATGCGACGCAATCTAAGGAAAAAGAAAATAAGAGAAAAACAAACAGCTGTGCTCACGTTATCATTTTCGTCATGTGACTTAATTATTAATCACGTGATCAAACAAAAAATAAACCTAGAAATAAATTATCCCCTGCCCGGTTTCGAACCTAGACTCTCATGATCGCAAAACTAGTGTGCTATTCATTGGGTCAACCTTGCTCATTGACGTCAATATAGCTCGGCCAAAGGTAATGCTCACGCATTCTCACATCATGAAAGAAAGCTGAGGTGCTCTCGTAATTTTATTTTTTTAAAAATGGGGGTGATTTTTTGGTGCTTATTTGTTCTCTCGAATTTTGAGCTTATCAGTGTCTTTTTTTGATATTGACTAAAACTCGGAGTGTCACGGTACTTATGTGGTAAAAGGAAATGCATATCTGTGGCGTTTCTAGGAGACACAACATGATATGCACTACTCATTGCTAAATGGAGCACATAAAAACAATTCCCAAAGAAAAAGAGCAGCCTCGCAGACAGTTCAGTGCGGTCGGTGTTGTGGTTCAACAAAAGTACAGACGTTTATCAAGGTTCCCTGCCGTGGAAAGTGCAATTTCTCTTCAAAGCAAGCTCAATTCGGGTTCTTTCGGTTTTTGCAGATTTCAAGAAAAATCGTTTGGAGGTCATATTTTTATGTATATCAGTATATACTGAAAACACGTAACCCACTTATGATTGAATGATTGTAAAAAGCATACAGCATGCCATGGAATTATTATAATGGTGGTGGTTAAAAGTGTTGCAAAGAACCTGAATGTTTTACTCAAACCTATCAACTTGATCCCAAAGATGCCACTTTTCTAGTGATTCGTTGACCACCACTTTCAGATACAAGAGACACACCTTTGCAAGTTGTGCAACTAGTCGCCCGAAGTACCTGAAAACTGGAGCTTGTTACTTCCCCCTCTCAGGCTACGACGTCAGAGACTCCCCCTGAAGCTGTGTTCAAGCGACGCAACACTTCCTTCGGTGACCACTCGTACGCAGCTGTGTCACCACGACTGCTCAGGGTCCTGGCCACGAGTAGGCAAAAGCTGCAGAAGGCGAGGAAACCGTTGAAACAGGCAAAGAAGAAGATCAATCGGAAGACGGCCAGGATTAGGAAGCTGAACACGCTGCTCCGTGAACTGAGGACACGACTTCCTAAGCCAGCATTCACCAACACAATGCGCAACCTCGTCTTAAAAAGAGTCAGGCGCAACAAAAACGCATGTACAGAGGATGTGCGCAAGTTTGCCCTCACGCTCCATTTTTACTCGGCAAAGGCATACAGCTTTCTGCGAAAGCATGTCAAGCTACCACACCCAAGCACTCAGCGGAAATGGGCAGCGGTGGCTGATGCACGACCAGGACCAGGATGCACGACCAGCGACGCCGGGGCTACAGCGGCTCGGCAACTCGCTGGACCTGCGGGAGTTACGTGAGCAAAGGCGACACGACCTGCAAATGGGTGCACAAGAGCATCCCGAAGCTTGCTTCCAGAGAGGGTGCGACGTCGTCAAGGAAGTGACTAGCTGGGGAACTACCTGCGCAAGAAGGATGGAATTTTGCTTTCTGGCACTCCTCGACGGCCCCCTGGGACCGACAAGACTGCCAGTGCGACCACATCTCTAGGAATCGGGGTGCGACACCGGTCTCATTGGAGTGCACATGTGCGTCAGAAGAGCTTGGAGCTCTGCTCAGCCTCGTCTTGCGTGCACCAAGGAGGCTGCTAGCTTTGCGTCCCTCCAGTACGCTGCTGGACGACCGACGTGAGCCGCCTCTTGTATGTACCGAGCGACGCCAGGGCTGCAGTGGCTCGGCAACTCACTGAACCTGCGGGAGTTACGTGAGGAAAGGCGACACGACCTGCGAATGGGTGCACAAGGGCGGAGGGGTCCCGCAAAGCTTGCTTTATGAAAGAGTGAAACATAGTCTTCAAGTGCATGCCTAGCTCGGGAACTACCTGCGCAACGGGAATGGAATTCCGCTCTCCGAGTGTAATAAAGTGACTTGCGCACTGAACGTGACCCTATTCACTACTATTACCAGGCGCTGTGTCTAAAGATAGGTCTGACGTACCTAGGATGCAAAATCTAAAGATGCGTCAGACGTACCCAGGACGCGGAGTCTGTGTCGGGTGTCCTAGCGTGGGCAGTCGGACTGCGGCCGGACGCTCCCGCTGGTGTATTTACAGCAGTCCGAAAGCGTTCCACGCTTGCGTCTTATCGACCTTGCATAAGTGGCTGGCAGCCGCTTGGCCTGGCTGCCGTGTGATACACGGGCGTGTGCCTGTCCTGTGTAAAAACGCGTGGAGTGCCAAGAAAATCAAACATTGTGTCTAACAAACTACTAATTTCAAATTCCCCGACTTTTTCAAGTTTTTCCCTGACTATTTTGATCAAATTCCTTGAGTTTTTGAGTCGAAGGATGACATTTCGGCAATGTCATTCAGCATGGCCATGCCGACGAGCAACCGCCATGCCGCTTTCACTAGTCGTCTTCCCTTATTTAGCCCACTTTTTGGAATGATTCCCTGACTTTCCCAGATGATCCGAAATTCCCTGGGAGTTTAAGGCTTTCCAGGTTGGCAGACACCTTTTGAAATTTCGGCACGCGTTTGCGGGGTTTAGTGATCGGGAAGCTGCTTGAGAACAACATAACTACAAGAGAAGCTGGTACAGTACTGCTTACACGACTGTCGCCCCTTCACAGAAGGCACCCGGCAGGCGGCCGGGAGCCGCCGTCCGCCCGGAGTGACCGCCGTCGGTCTTTTTCACGTCACTACGGATCACATAGTGAAGTGGTCCGTAGTTAGCTCAGCACCGAGCAGTTCGGAGATTTCAACACTTCTCTCGCTGCTTCAAATGCGAATCTTGACGGTCGAGCTAAGAAAATTGCCCGGGCACGTCCGCCGTACCGTTAGAACTCCGCGTTCTGGTTACGTCCTACATACCTTTAGACTCCGCGTTCCGGATGGGTTCGACGTATCCTTCGACTCAGCGATTATGGAGGAGCTCCCGTGGTTAACGATTGCGGATATTTTAATTAAACTCGAACGACCGAGCGATGTCCGAGGTAGTGATCCGAGCCCGTACGAGAAGCACGGGACCGAATCTGGCTTACTCTGAATTAAATAAAAAAGAAAAGCCTCATTCCCTCGTACTTCACGTTATTTCTACGCGGGACAGCACACAAAACCCTCAAAAACCGAATTCCGCTCACGAAATCCACACACTCCGATCAACGCCCACAACGCTTCCGACACGCACTGGGCGCTGCCATCTTTTCGTTGACGCCAGAGATTTGGTCTGGTTACGTCATAGATTTGGCCTGGTCACGTGTCTAGTGGTCAAAATTGTACAACATGGCGGCGGTCAATTGGGGGTCACTTTCGGCTGCCAGTTTATCACTCTAATGCCCTATACCTCGTTGAGTTCCTTGTTGTTACCGCGCCTGCTTTTGTTTCTGCGACTGTTGCCGCCTGCGGAACGCGCGCCGCTTTTGAGTCGAAAAGATTGTCTGCTAAAGACGCTGGCTGTCGGCGCCGTATGCTCGTTCGTTGGCGGCGTTCGTTGCGCCATCTCTTGTCTCCCGTGCGAAACGGCGCCGCGTTGTTTGCAGACCGGTGGCTTCGCTGCGTTTCCATAGGAGCTAAGGCTTTTTCTTTCTTTACTTTTCCTCAAGTAGGTTCGCTCTTTGCAAATTTTACAAAAAAAAAAAAAAAAATGCACCATCTGTGGGCAACGCTGCACAAAGTCGTAGCGCGATAGGTTAAGAAAGCGAATTTTCCGGTCGATTTAAAGAGCCTGGCGTCTCCTTGTTTCACCTTGTAGATGACGTATTCTAGATGTGTATGTGCGTCTGGCAACATCGGCTAGTCAGCAGAAGTCAAGACGAGCAAAGCCGGTTATACCGAACTGTTCGTTTCTCGGACGAAGTCGACATGAACCAGGCACTTCTTGTGTAACTCTTTTCCGTAAGGTCAAGGTAACCTCCTGAATAAAAGCGTTTGGTATCACATAACAATGGGCATCGCTGGATGTTCGAAATTTAAGTTGCCTAAGGTCAAGCGCTTATTGAGATACCTTTTCGTACCTCTTGTCCAAGCGAAAAACACTTACCGGCCAACGTTTATAGCTACTATTACTCGGACAATCAATGCTTGCCAATCTTAGGTCACATTCACCAGAAATCTTTTGGCCATCGAAAGGCGGCCAAACGAATTCCAAGAAGGCTTTGAGTAAGTAGTATCTGGTCAACGTTCGATAGAAAGCCGAGTAGTTTGTCATCAGATGTCTGACATGCACCATTGGATTACGTCGTTCAATTTAAATGCAAGTGACCAATGGTGAAGCGTGCCGATCACCTTTTAATTATCGCTGGTTGATAAAACGTTTAGTTGTGAATCTACAAGTTCTTGCAGCCAAACTTAAGATAGTCGCCTAACGACTGTCTGCACTGGCCCAGTTGTACAACCACACGTAGGGGAAGTACTGAACGTTCATATGACTATTGTCACTGTTAACGTAAGAAACCAATTCCACTTCAAGCGTCGTGATCAGTTCTTCTGCGTTCGTATCGGCTAATGCTGCAATCTGATTGGTTGGATGACATGCTCGCAATTCGCTAATCTCGGCTATCAGCGGCTCGTCAAGTAGATCAACAGCTGGAGCTATTCATAGAGGGTTGGTCTTGGTCTTGGAGCAGTTAGCTCTGGCTGTGGCAGTATCTCTTGGACGTACCAAAAAACTAACCTGTCCTGTAAGAAATTAAAGAGAGACGCATAATTTATTTACTCGGTCTTTATTCAACATCATTTATACATCAAAGACAATACTGAAAAATAAACAACACGCGGTCAGGAGACCAAAACAGAACCAAATAAATCTTCAACTTCTAACATCAAAAATAATAATAATATTAATAAAATGATAATAAAAATATTTCCTTGCTCAAACCCCCCTTTTTTCCTCTCTCTGACCATCAGGGTTAACCATTTCTGCAAGAGCTATAAAATCACACTTTGCTTCAAGAAACAAAATTCAAAAGCTAAAAGAAAGAAAAAAAAAAGTCCGATAAACAACAGGGACGAAGATACAGCCAAGTGGGACTTTTAGGTAGACACATGATGATGATGCATGGTAATAAAACCCGAGACGCAGGAACACAGAAGGGGACGAACACAACACAACGTCTCAAGTTAAGTATTGTTGCAGCTATGATGATGCCTTCGTTTTAAGAGCCCAGTCGGCGAGACATCTCAAGCCCTATCATAAGCTGAGCTGGAATTCTTCAGAATAGACACCCGTGCATACTTGAAGATATCTTATCTTCAAGTAGACACACAGACAGTGCTCGTCTCGTGTGTTTCTTCTTCGTCCTCGTCTGTTTTTCACGCTGTTATCTTGTCTTTTGCGTTAACTTATAAATTAATAGATTTTTTTGTCAACTAAGTTATGAGTGCACCCGATTTTTTTCGATCTATTGTCATTCTTGGGTTTATTGGGCGTTGTTTCTTTCGAACATAATAAACCAACTGGCCCAAGACCACCCCTTTGCTTCGGATGATCTTCGCAAGCTAAGCCCAATCTTCAATCTTCGCACGCTCGGGGACGTCGAAAATCTCCTTCGGCTCAAAAGCGACTTGGGGACGCTTGTTCCGCGAGCGTCGCACCTTCACCACCTGTTCCAGGTGGCCATACCCGCTTCGCACAGGCATGGAGTCGACAATCTTCTTGACCACCGCTGCGTCATCTGCGGACGTGATGTATTTGACGGGCGGGAAACCGAATCCGTTGAAACCGCAGGCCAGCACGAGCGTGTAGGCCCCCATGTTGTCCATGAGCATCCACTCGTTGACGTCCACCTCGAAGAAGGGCTGCTTGTCCAGAATGCAATCCATCGGGTTGCACGTGGCTGCCCAGAGCGTCGTGAGCACCTCGCGAGGTCGGTCGTGGGGTGGCTGTGGACATGAGCGCTTTCTTTGTTACAGACTCTAGTTGAGCTAGCGGGTACATTTTGGTGAAGAGTCAGCTTGGAGTTTCAGATAGGAACGAAGAAAGGAAGGAACTGAACAAGACATCTGATTGGCATCTATGCTTCAGTAGGCATCTTCACACGCATAACTACATATTCTTATTGGTATTATGCATATGTGAACAGCCTCTGAAGAAGGCGAATATGTATATGAAGAAGAGGTGTACTTAAGCAAAGTTGGTAGCGATTGTTTCCTGTCTTGTTCTTCGTTCGTTTTTGTGAGTTCAAGCTGGGGGGGGGGGGGGGGGGGATCCTTCTTTAATGTTTTATACTTGCTCTAACTTCGAAATGTACCTCCCCCCGCCCCCCCCCCCCCCCCCACACACACACACACGCACACACACTTTATGTATTGTCCCTGAATGGGGCCTTTGAATGCATATTGAATGAATGAATGAATGAATGCAGTTATTTCCACCCCTCGGGTTCGGTGTCGGTGTTAGACGGTAAGTGTTGCACTTAACGTTTTGTAGCGAATGATGCGAAACGAGAGTTTCCGCTGTCGCCTTTGCGCGTGCCTCGTGTCACCATCGCTATCAGAGTTATTGTAACGATTTTGCTAAAACTCTCTAATATCAAACCATTAAATTAATAAAGGGTTTTCTGTAATTTCCTCCTTCGGCGAGAGCGGCGACGTCTCGAAAGCGGCCGTAGGCAAAAGAGATAATCAGTTCGAACAAAACACGCACTGGCATCAAATAATGAGATCGCCTGTTCTATATAACAGTATAGTATTCGAAGTACTGCGCCTATTTCACCTGCTCAAACTGCGCACAAGCAAAAGTTGAAAATGATCGTGCCATACGAAGTTTGCCAACAAACTCCAGCTAATATTGCAGCATACGAAAAATGGTAGTTTGTAAATAAACGTGTTATATAATTATGTACAGTCGTAAGATATATGAGCGGGAACAACCCGTCATGTTTATTTTGAGCACCTGCCAGTCACTAAGGATGCTTTGATAAAAAGCTGAAACTCAAAGTTTAAGCTATTGTCTCTCAACTCTACAAATCGAGAGAAAAAGGAGGTTGTGGAAAACTCAGCCACAGAAAAAGAGCAGATGGAGTGCCGCCCATCATATTATTCACGTCTAACAGTGGTTAGCTGACAAGCAGACCCACTACCCTTAATCATGAAAAGTTAAGGCAACTTATATAAAGCTATATACTTCCAACACGACAAATTTCTAGCATAGCTTGATTTTTTTTTCTGCAGTTCTACACGCACTTTGTTACTGACTGGTTTGTATAATGGTGTGGATTAAAGGTGTCATTAATTGTATCGCTAAATTCTTTAATGAGCTTGGTTGCATACAAAAAAACTCGCGTATTTCGAAGTAGGTTTGACTGTATTGTACGTTTAAATTCCATCGCCAGTTTGAGCTGCCATAGTCTTATTGAGTGTAATAAAGATCTTGGGATACGCCACTCTCGCACAATAATTGTCATTGGTAAACCTATATTTGAATACGTTACCATTAGAAGCCTGTTTTGACGAGACCCCGACGGTGTCTTTTGTTTGCCAGTGCCGGGAAGAGAAAAAGAAGGATGGAGAGAGGGTGACGCGTGCGACGCTCCCATTAGTCCGAAGCGCTGACGTCAGCTCGCGTCAGCCTCTCTCTCTCTCTCCCCGGTGCTGACAAACTTACAGACACCGCCGGGATTTCGTCAAAACAAGCCCTCTCCTGCTGTTTTATTCATCTACGATCTAGAGATTTTTGGATGCGTATATAGAACAGTGGTAAATAAATGAATATTACTGTTTAATCATAGTCACCGGCCGCTTAAAGAACGCAGGGTGTGGCGTGTCCCCAGAACTTCATTACAGTCATTGTGGCATTTGTGAATAAGAACGACGAAGAACCAACCAGGAAGCAGGAAGCGTGATCATAAACCACATCGTGCGTTTCTTGAGCTGTCAATGCGGAGCGCAAGTTTGTCTGCTTCTTTAGCAGGGGTTCTGGCGACGTCAGAACACCGAGCTTCGATTGACTTTGAATGCTTGTGTTGAGGTCTATCTATTATACTTCAATCGGAGCCAGCCAGAGTTTGACGACTTTCTGACGTAACCGCAACTCCTGCGCAAGAAGCGGACAACTTGCTCTCCCTTGGCAATGTATTACCGTAATGGTAAAATCTCAAGTTGTCGAAATGACGCTGATTGCGGAGGTGAGCTGGTGAGCGACCATACTGAAAGTCACCGTAGATGATGTGACACAAGAAAGTCGCTTTACTCACAGACAATGGCTTGTATGTGATGTCCATGAAAGGGTACAGGTCTCGTGGGATGCAGTTGTATTTGCTTTCGTTGATGAAGACATTTTCGTGTCGATGCGCGACGCCTACAAGATATGGTAAAGAAACAAGTATGGTGGATCGAACATTTTATACAGCACTTACAGGAACGTGATCACTGTTTCACCGATGCTTTTGGGATGAGAAAGGGAAAAAAACCTTAGTTCCTGATTAAAAAAAAAAAAAAAAAGAAATCCATGGTCGTTATCTTGGTGGCACAAGATTACACGGATAACCTTCGTATCCACTAACTGCTATACTATTTACTAAGAAGGCGGCAACTACGTGTACTATTTCAATGTTCTTGAGATAAAATATTCACCCTTCCCCGGGTATAAAAGACCATACCCTCCATTACCTGGAGATTTCAGTAAGACCACAGCATGCAACGGCAATCTCCCAAAGAAGAATACCTGTTCCTGTGAACTTTTATAGGATGTGTTTTATCGATACGTTATCTTGACATCAAGGGAAACACAAATTGTGTCTGGATCACAAATAAATAAAATCTGTACGACTTTATTTGTTATAATATTGTTGCCACTTCCCGATTTTCGCCTTCTACCCGCCATTCAGTCACAAAAATGTCAAATTAGGAATGTATCACAGTATTCACTGACCGTCGATGGTGACGTCCTTTCTTCTTTTGGCTATCACCTTGGTGACGAGGGTGTAGGCGGAAGTGACAAAGAACTGTCCAGGTTCCCCGATTATCTTGACACCACTCGACAACGGAAAGTGCTCGTCGATGGCGCATTTAATGGTCTCAGCCACCTTACACAAGAAACAAAACGAAGGAACAGGTTAAGCTTACTACAGTTGTTATCCCGGAATTCGGACATGAACTATATCTTTCAGATTAATTTTATTTACAATTTTAAAGGTTTCCTTGATTTAGCAGTCATGTGTCCAAAGGTTTGATATTCAGTCTAATGGTGGCGATCTGTAACATCATATTCTGCTTTTATTGAACTCTTTTTCGTTAAGCTTACACTTTAAGCTCTTTTTTTTTTTTCACACCCAATTTTTTTTTTTATTCCTTATTCGGGTAGAAGCGTGGCGGCAGAACAAACATCAAATGCGCCGTGGGTTTTATACTATTGTAACACACTGCCACGCGAAGTTTCGAACTACAAGAAGCCCAAGACAAGTAAATGCGCTACTAGTAAAAGCGACAAAAATAAGAAAAATTATAACCTGCTTGAATTTTTCGAGTTTCCGAACACCGCCGGGAAAACCACCGCCAATGTCCAGCATGGTCATCGAGAATCCAATCCGAGCGCCAATGTCGAAGACACCTCTCGCTTCTTCTATGGTCTGAGCAAATATTTCTGTATGCGTGAAGGAGCACCCGACGTGAAACCTGCCAGGATAACGTAAAAAAAGAAAATGCAATCGGAGAACATAAGGATAAAATAATTGATTATCAGGACAGTGCCGGTATGCTGAGTTGTTTCAAAAATGTATGCTGTTAGGAGGAATACAACAACAACTCTTGGATAACAAGGCGTTAGTGCAAAATGTTTGACGTCACCGAAAGAAGGCCAAAGCGGGACAAAGATTGGACAGGAATGCCGCGTCAGCGTTCGACTGGAGCTCGGGCTCTCGCTGATTGGACACGAGCCTCGGCCGAGCGCTGACGCAGCAATCGTGCCCAATCTTTGCCCTGCGGTGGTCATACACGCAAGAGCTGTATGATAATCCCTGCCATACAGATGCAGGCCTTAGCCCTCCTAAGGCCTGGTGTGGGGATACAATAAAAAATAAATTGTACGATCGATTGATTGATTAAATGAACAATTGATCGCTTGATTGATTGAGTGAGAATAAACAAATGATTGACTGTTTGATTGACAAATTGATTGATTGTGTCAGCAAATAATGAATTGGCTGATCGATTTGTTGGTTGAATAAAAAAAGATATATTAATTGATTGATCGATCGATCGATCGATTATTTTCTTTATTTATTGATTTCATCTTATGAAAGTATACGGTTGCGACATACGAAACTCCGACGATGTTGAGGCCCTTGAAAAACGCCAGCTTCATGAGCTTCTCAACCTCGTGAGGATAGCTCCCGTATTTGGCGTTCATGGTTTGGTGACTGCCGTATTCACTTGCAGCGATTCGGAGAAGCAACCTGGTGGTCCAGAAGAAGATAGGAAACCAGGCGAGGTTAATCTAACAAAGAGATACCGTAGAGAATTGATCGTCGTAAGTTTGGTAAACAATCCATGCACATACGAAAGAAATCAATCAAAATCACCACCATACGGTCGTATGATTAACCCGGACGAATAACACGTTGTTTTACTATTGAAGATTGAGACAAGTAAGAAATATTTTGAGTGGCGACTAAGTTAGCGTACGCGTTCTTAGTTGATGCCAGTTCATTTCCTATGTCTGGCATTGCAGAATAACTGAAAGAAAAGCCGATGAAGATGCGACTGAATTAGTTTGACAAAAAAGTGTCGCTTCGTGATGAAGACACAGGTCTTTTCTTTTCCACAGCTCATTATGACTGCGTGCTATGTACATGTCTTTGCGGTGATTCCGCTAATATCTGAGCTCGCTATCGAGCAATTATACGCATTAAGATACTAAACTTAATGCTATGAGGAGCAGGTTTCCCTCTCGCTCGCTGCCTCAACCGTTCTCTCTTTCTTCCCGCTCCTCCTTGATATTAAAGATCCTCTTTTAACTTTCTAATGGTAACCTAATGGTTTTTTAAGAGACCGCTATTCTTAGCCCCATTAAAAGTTAACAGAGCCCACACAGGCAACCAAAATCTACCTTGCATTCTTGTCGTTGATTTTAGACAGTTCTTCTTCGGAGTCAAAAGTCATCAAAGTAACGCCGTGCTTTTCGGCAAACCTCAGATGGGAAGTGCACTTGACGGTGTTGGCGTACACAACGCGGTCCGGAGTAACACCCATGTCCAGCACCATTTTAATCTCTCCCTGATGAAAACAAAAGCCAAGAGACGTTAAACGATGTCCGGGCTCACGGGCACATTGCAAGTATTTTTTTTTTTATTTCAATATATTCCAGCGTCACGTCCTGGGTATTGTTTGCTTACTCTAAATGCCTTTGAATCTTGCCAAATTTAATTCAAAAGAAACAGAAGGAGCCAGAGGACTTCTTTCTATGTGAGTACAGGACAGCTGTGTGGCGCTGCCTAAAGTGAGTGAGCTGGAGACTTGACATTGGAGGGTGTTCAGACGAACTAGGGTTACTCCAATCTCCAGTCGATAGTACCGACAAACGACACGACAGTGCCGACCTGTTCTACATTCTTGCACTACACTCTAAGAAATCCCTGCGCGTCTACTTCCCGGCAGAACACTCATAGAGCCAATCTCTTCGATCTACAAAATCAACACAGCGAATGATGAGGCGAAACATCCGTTTAAACCTAAAATTGAGGTCTGCGCTGTGGGATTACGCAATCCAAAGCGTCATGCTTGCATTGCGTAATGCCACAGCGCAGAATTGATTTTGAGGTCTAAACGGATGTTCCGCATCATCATTCGCTGAGCTGATTTCGCAGATCGAAGAGATTGGGTCTTTGATCGTTTTGTGGGTAAGTCGACACGCAGGCATTTCTTAGAGTGTAGAATATACCTATTTGCACGTACATTGTCCATCAATATGGAAGGCCCACTGAGGAGCGCGCGGATGAGACGGTGGTTGATGAGGGCATTGGGCGCGTTGTGGATACTTCCCCATCACTCCAACGGAAGCGAAATTCGATAACTCAGCCAAACTGAACGGCAGGCACTCACGGAGTGCCTGCCGTCGCTCGGAGCGACATGAAATTAAAAAAAAAGCACAAGCAGCGCCCCCCCCCCCCCCCCCTCACCTCCCCAGCCGCCACCTCAGCCACGTGTTCCGAGTGGGTGTTCGACACAGTGTTATACAGTGGTTACAGAGTTATACAGGAGTTATACAGTGGAGACTACATAACTTCAAGCACGTATGCAGCTGTGTTGGTTCATGGGAACGCTTAATTAACCGTCCGATAATTTCTTGGACTACAATTCAGGGCAAATTCATAGACGCCAATTGAAAAAAAAAATGATTAAAAGCGGGTTTGCGAGCATAAACACCGATTCTACGTAAATATAAGGAACACTTGAAATAGGCGTCAATTAAAACAGAGAGAAAACAGAAATAGTCACCTTGTTGGAGCAGTCGAAGTTGACCCCTTGTGAATTTAGTGTTCGCAGAACGACAGGATCTGAATTGCACTTGACGGCTGAAGTGAAACGATCGAGGTGATGAAATCATATGAAATGTTTTCCGCCGTTGCTTAAGCTAATCTCAATACCGTAACGAGACCAATCAACTTGAAGCCGAACACGCGTCATATTTGTACGCACGACATACATAACGTAATTATAATACGATGTAAAGTCACTAATTAGTGCTCTTTATCAACGACTCACTCTCTGAGGTCCTGTTTATCTCGCCTTAAATAGGGTTCCGTGGTTTCGGTATAAAGCGATTAATAAAAAAAAAAAGAAAAAAAAAAAAAAGGCTCCCGAGTCACTTTTTGCCCGGTACACAGCCTTCACAGAACTGTTCGCGAGGCTGCTTTTTCATTTAGCAACCGCATTCTTTACGTGGTTTCTATATCTGAAAAATACCTAAGCGTTTTCCCAGTATTCGGGTTGCTCACATAATCTCTGGAAGTTAAGAAATCCCATGTCCCTCTCCCATTTGTTTAAAACGAAAATAATTAGAAGAATATTTGGTAAACGATTTATTTTCACCCCATGCTGAAAACAGACACCAAAAACGATGTTGAAAAAAATATTCCAAATACCCTCAAATTTGAACAACAGAAAGCTGAAAAGAATTGTCACCTCACAACGGAACCTCGAAGTGTGCAAAATCAAGCAGACTCACCGAAGTACGGAGTAACTCGTGGAAGCTCTTGCCGCCACAGGTCTACTTTGTACTTCATATCGCGCACGTCACAAATGAAGAAAGCATCGTCCGTTGCCTGCAACACAAGCGACGTGGTACATTAACATCTCGCAAGAATGTTTCCTTTTTTTTTAATTTGTGAAATAAATTGCATTGAAACGTTTTTATATTTCCACACCTCCTATGTTCCACATATGTGTGAGCTGTAGTAATATTTAAATAGATAAATATAATCAAAACAATCTTACTCTATTCAATAAGCTTTGGAGCATGCAAAAATATTTTTTTTTGTTGGTTCTAATGTCAACTTTGTGGCTCGTATGTTTATTTCTGCCTTTTGTGACGCAAGGACGCAGATTTGAATGAATTAACATTCGGGTGCGAGCGGACGAGACATTCGCCAACTTATGATAGCTGCGCGTTAAACCTCCCACAATATGTTCTTTCACAAAAAAAAAGAAAGAAAGAAAGAAAGAAAAAAAGAAACAGAGACCAGCGCCCTTTTGGTCCAGAAGAAATTAAATTTTTTAGGCAAGAATACACTGCTCGAAGGTTGTCAGAAACGGTAGCTACCTGTTTCCTAATTATCGTCCGTGCGACGTGATGCACCTTCTCATCGATGTAAACGGATCCGTCGCTTTCAAACTCGTTCTTCATTTTTCAGAATTTTTGTATTCTCTGAACAAAAACCAAACAAGCAAAAACGGTTAGAACAGTCTATCCGAGGAGGAGTCATTTGACAATAATAATTCAGCAGTTCATTTGTCACGATATGAAAAACTTATAAACGCAGGGCTCATGACGCTCACGCTTTCTTCTCTGTGAATGGTTCTGGGGCGTTTTTTTTCATTGGCTAATGCAGCACTATGATTGGCTGCTGAACGATAATGAGATGCACAGAGCTCACGACGACCTTTGTTTCTTTGGCTGTCTGTGACTATTGTAGGCCTCATGGAGGTAAGAAGCTTCTGGAGGCGACATGACGCCCCCAGAGGTGTGGTTTTACTGCGGTTTGGCTCATCACTGGGGGACGTGTCCCTCCCCATTCCTGGCTTCACCTCTAGTGCCGTCAAGTCGCCTCCAGAAGCTTTCTACCTCTGTGGCAGACGTTTCTACGCGGGCGCCGCCATCTTGAATTGCGGAACTTCCGGTATGAGTGAAATCCTCGTTTTGCTCTCTCCAAACCACTGGAAGAAGCTCACGTTTTAATCGCGACGGCCTATCGTTGTTGTTTTGCATTTTCTTTATAATTTTACTTGTTCAAGGTTTGTTAACTACGTGAATGGAGACGAAAGTGAACGGAAAATGACCAAAGTGTAAACTTGGTGAGAGGTTGAGTTTTTCCGTGTTAGAAATGTTGTCGGTGGTTGTCCGTAAATTGGCAAGATGCTTTCCCACCACAAACTGTGAAGGCATCTCGCCAGTTTGTCGCGTTTTTCATTAAGCGATGCGTTACAACTACAGCCATGCGGGTGACCCGGTTTAAACCCGTAAAAGCAAACATTTCCATAATTTGAAGCGGGAATGAACAGACGACACTTGTTGTCCGTTCGTCTCCTGTGGTTCAAATTATGCGCAACTCAAACCAGCTCGCATGTTTCTGAAGTGTATTTACAAACACTTTCGCACATTGTAAATCCGAAATCTTTATTTGTCAATTATTGTAAGACATATAGAGGTTTCTTAAACTTGTTTTACACACTTTTTGTTTTTCTACGAGAATGCGTGAAAGCAACAGTAATGTGTTCTGTGCAGGCGAGTCATACGGCGATAAGCGCGACATAATATAGGGTCCCATCGTCATAATAAGTCGAATAATTCAGCAGAATTTCATCATTCACTTTTTAATTTGTGAAATAAGCATATGGTTCAAATTAAAAACTTGCTGAGCGTCACTAAAAAAACTATAAATCAGTGAATTTTAAAATCTCTAGAAATCGCAAGAAGCCAAATATAAAACACTTGAACAGAGGACACTAGTGTAGCTTTCATTTTTTTTATAAGCAAAAGTGTGTAAAATTTATATTTTTGAACTCCATGGTCTAACCTTCACAAACATTCAGTTGACCTCCGATTTGATTTGCTTGGCGTCGGTGACAACGTGTTTCTTCAGGTAAAAAAATTAATATATATATATATATATATATATATATATATATATATATGTCTTAGTATTTGCTTCCAAACATATTCATATATACCCTTTTAAAAGTTGTGTTTGCTGAAAGTGAATTTGCGCCTTGCCTTCTCGTATTCCGGTTCCAGGCTGAAGACTAAGAAGTGTGCGTATTTAAGCCAGTAGTTTATTCATATTTTATGAGGTTATAAAATAAAACATGTACGACTGTTTCGCTCAAAATACATGTTGCCGCGAACATGCCTATGAAATATTCGTAATGCCAAAAAAAGTTTGACTGTTATGCGCCCAAGCACTTTGTTTTCGGTAAGGCTCAGCTTTTTTGGAAGACAAATATGCTTCAAATAAAACATCGGCCTCAAAATAAAACAAACACCGATAACATTTTGAGAGGGCAACTAAAACCACGAAACGGACACAGTGGTAGTTATATGGTTGCCGTAACAAAGAAAATAGTAAATAACGCGAAGTATAACTCGCATTTAAGCTCTTACCTCTGCTGCCAGTATTGTTCACACACCGGGCGTGCCTTGTTTGGGCTTGAATGAAGAGCTTAGCGTCAAAGACCCCTCTCGAGAGAGCCGACAACGGTTTCGCAACTACTCCGGCTTTTCTACTTTCTCGCCGAGCGCATCTAATCTATGCGCATGTCCAGCGCTTCCTGATGAGAGGAAACAAACAAAATACTTACATTCAAATGTACGTCCTCCCTGACAGCCTCCTTTAGTCCTGACCTCAGTGTCCGCGCTATCGCAAAATACCGCGGTGACCCTCCGAATCTTCTTAGTCTTTGTTCCGGGAACCAAATGATACCGAGAGGCCGTCTCGTAAGTGTGGCCAGATAATGCAAACTGAATGCGCAAGATAGGTGAAAGAAAATCTCGAGTGTTTTGTAACGGCGCTTACAATAGGTTCCAGACCACACGTTTATACAAAGACGCAGAAAGGTCGCGCCTGGAGGCGAAATTCCCGCTGCGGGCCGTATGTTGGAACCATAGAGTTATTATATTGTACGCTAGAAATTCAACTGCCGCTAATGCCTAAGCGACTTCCGGAATGCAATTTGAAGCAGACAGCAGCCAGTCAACTTTTGCGTAGCACCTGAGCATTCCTATGGGAAAGCGAGCGTGCATCTGGTCTCTTGTTATTTGGGTCGTACCGAATAGTGCGTACAGCCATTGACACTTGTAATTCTGTTACCGCATTTTTCTTTATCAGTGAACTACGTTACACTTAGCTATTTCAGGCCGAAACCTATGTTTCACAGGAGGTATATAAACACGAGCGACGGCGAATCTGAGCAAAATAACATTTGAAATTAATGTCAAGTGGGTTCAAGGTTCGGCAGCATTCCGGTGACGCTTGCATATTGCTAATATGCCAGCCCTGTCACATATACGAAAATGGCCCCGTCGTGCACCTCTACGAGCGGTTAAAACATTTAAAACGTAAAAAATAAAGTACGTGGGACATGACAGGTGTCTCTTTTTATTATTTCCTATGCCGAGCCACCTCTATCGGGTACCTGTTTTCACGTTTCTCCCTATTTTCAAATATTTCAAGCTCGCGGGTGATGTTTTGAATGCAGAACAAGCATCTTCGCATATATGCACAGCCGAGAGAATAAAGTCATGCCTGTCTATTGCAAATCGGACTATATTAACTTGACCTTCACTTTATTTTGATTTTCTACATGGACAGGGCGTTAATAATTCAGTGTTACCGCGTAGTTCTTGCCGCCTCTTTTGGTTGTCCACATTTCCTTCGTTCGCTAGCTTGGTACGTAAATTCATCACGCAGGAAAGCTCCGACGCCTTGTTAGTGTTAAAAGCGCCCGACACTGCACATAAATGCATGTATAAAGCTGTTTTAAGCACTGGATTCAACGACATAAACTTGACAAGAAAAATCTGTAATCGAGATATATTTGTATTTATGTAATTAAGAAATGTTTGGAAGTATTCACTACGTTATAATTATTCGTAACAATCGCTCATATAATCAAGCGCAGAGCAAACATGCACCCGCTTTTCTTCGTAGAAATGCGTTAACGGAAGTCAATTTTTGACTGCTTCCTGTCTGGTTCAATTTTTAACAGCACACTAGCGCCAGCTAAACCACTAACGTACATTATGATAACTTTATGTTTGAAACATATAAGAAGGTTAAAATTGTTTCCAAACATAAAACCAGTCAATTGAAGCGCCCGCCACCTTTTCTGCACGCTGGGGAGCGTCTCCGCAACAACACTTCAGAAAACAGCCGCGCTGTGGAGTAAAGATGGCACTTCAATCAACTGATGACTAACATTCGAAGGAAGGTGAGGATCAGCTGTATGCAAACATCTGCCAGAGTTTACCAGCACCGAAGTGTCATTGAAGGCGTAATCACACCAACCTTGATAAACACGTGCGTTTCTGAAGGTTGCTGTGATTACGCCTTCAATAACACTTCGGTGCAGGTAAACTCTGGCAGATGTTTGCATACAGCTTATCCTCACCTTCCTTCTTTGTGATTTTTCCTTCAGCGTTCTTATCGGTTAATGCCGTAACCTCAAAGGCGTCGGATCGAAGCGCGTGACAGCCTACAGTCAGAGTGCACTCCTGTCGTGGGGAAGAGCTGTCACGTACGATCGCACCGTTGCTCTGATGGCCACACGTGGACTGTAGCATTCGACATTCGCCGCTTACAAATACACAATCGGGCGTGAAATCGCCATGGCCCAGCACTCGTGTGTACGTCCCTTTTGGAAATAGACAAAAGCAGGCGCCACGTGCACAAACACTAGTCAGAAACTCGCTATCAAAATTGTCTCTCTATTCATCCCCAAAACGATAACATTTAAGAAAAACGTATCCTTTATTCTTTATTTTATTCATGGTGGTCCTGCAGCGCCTTTGGGCATTATTGCAGGGGGCGAATAAATACGAGAAAAACAACTTAGCATTTGCGGCACAAACAATTTCACAAGACAAGGCATTGAACTCCTATGGGTGTTACAAAAAACAAAAACAAAAAAAAAAAAAACGAATTTTTGCTCAATTTTGTTTTGTTGCGAAGTTCGCGCATTTTATGCTTGTGATCAATTCGTTCGGATATGTAACTTGGAGGTAATAGATAGAATGAACTCTTAATGCTTGTTATATTATTATGAATACTCTATAAGAACTTTAGGAGCAACTTGTTTTGTGTTTGTGCCAATGGATACCATCCTAACTCTTTAATCATGTTGGTGACACTCTAAAAACGGTCGTACCGCGTCAGGACGAATCGAGCTGCACGTTTCTGAATTTACTCTAGTACCACAACGTTGTTTTGCTGCGAATGGTCCCAGACGGTGCAGGCACATTCCAAAACTGGCCGTACATAGTTAAGGATTTAGTGGATTTTCTTAAATTTCGGTTCAAGAATCCAAGTGCACGGCCTTACAACATTATCAATGTGAGCGTTCCAACTGCCGTCACCTCATAGTGTGACACCTAAATATTTAACTGCTTGGTTCTATGGTAAAAATTCCTCATTCAACTTACAAGTTTTGATCTTCGTCTTGGTTTTGCGGGTAAAACTAACGTGTACACATTTTTTCTTTAGATTGAGCTCCATCTTCCACTATTTGCACCATATTGTTCTATTCAATTCAGGTCAAGCTGCAACCGTGTGGGGCCCTCATCGTCTGTTATACAAGTGTGAACGACGCAATCATCGGCAAACAATCGTACATTCAAATACACACCATCATTAATATTATTAGCAAATATCAAAAATAACAACGGTCCCAAAACAGAGCGTTGCAAAACGCCAGATGTAACCTCAATCAAATTTGAAGTTTCATCATTTAATATAACACATTGACGACGTAATGATAGATATGGTTTTACCCACTTCAGTATGGCAGTGTCTAGGTTTAGGAGCTCTAATTTGCGCAATAACAGCAAATGTGATACTGTGTCGATTTTTTTTTTAAATATAATCTGAAAATACACAGTCAATCTGCCCGCCTCCGTCAACATTCGTGACCAAATCGTAAGATATAGCTCGGTCAGTTGTATAGTGCATAAATATCCCTTGTGAAACCGCGGTGTTGTAACTTAAAAAAAATATGAAAGTTAATTTGATATATGATGTGAGAGTATTAAAACATGCTCCAGTAATTTACAACATATAAACGTTAGTGAAATCGGCCTGTAATTCGTAATTTCCCGTTCGGGCTCTTTTTTTGTGCACAGGCAGCACGTGTGCCACATTCCAGTCGTCTGGTAAAGAAGCATCGTTCAACAACTCATTATATACAAAAAATGTATGGAGCAGTTGCGTCTGCACAACGTTTTAATATTCTCGATGAGATCCCATCCTAGTCCTTTTGTTTCAACAAGATTTTTTTATCAGTCGCAACGCAACTCTTACACCAAGTTCCATTGGTGATATGACGCTGAACGACTTAGAGCATCTATCTTTGGTTACATTATCAGTACGTGAAAAAAAACAGACTGAAAATATTTATTGAAGGATTCTACTTTTTGCTTATTATCGATAATTGTTTCTTTATGAACCACGACATCTGGTATACCTAGCTGATCATTGCCGCAGCTCCTCATATATTTCTAAAACTGTTTTCTTTTAGTTTTTATCCCGTCCTCCAGCCGTTGTAAATAATCTTCTTTTGCTTGTCTTGCGGTAATCTTATATTTAACGTGAGTTGTTTTAGCTTATCTAGGATTTGTGTTGAGCTGTTCCTCTTAAACCGCGCGTACACACGGCTGTGCTTCTTTATCAGACAGAGCAGGCTACCCGAGATTTCTAGTTTCTCTCTCTTTTCTAGCTTCGATGAATCTGTGCTGGGAAGGTTTTTTTTTTTTTGTGTTAAACTGAAAAATAAATAAAACCGATGAAGCATGCACATTCATTTCCTCTGCGAGACATTCAAACGAGATGAAATGATTATGTAGCTCGGAACTGATCCCTTCACAATCTCCTTTTTCGTAAACCAACACCTTTCTATTTGTACTACCTTTTTTTTGCGGGGAACCCGAAAGCCAAGGTTCGAAACAACAGTACCGTGGTCACTAATACCACTTAATATATCGTTTTTGTTGTAACAACGTTTGGGTAATTACAAAAGAACAAGTCAAGTATATTTGTCTTTTGTATAGGTTTAGGGACATATTTCGTAAGAGCTAAGCTGTCCGCCATGCCCTTAAGATCAAGGTTCAGCCGACTCGTGGTTCTACATGTACAGTGTTCATCGCTCCATGCCTAACTGGTAAATTACAATCGCCACCAATCACGACACAATCATTGGAAGTTCTAGACACTAGGTCGTGAAGCACGTCAATAGTAGCAAGTCTAGCGCACGCCAGCGCTAAATTTAGCTTCGTTAGCGAACGCAAGGCAGGAGAGTTGTGGAATAGCGTTTCTCCAATGAGACGCAAGAACCCAAGCATCTCGCGCTTGCAAGCCACCAAGATACAATAACATTACTAATTTCACACACGAAATGCCGTAACTTAAAAAAAAGAAAAAAAGTTTTTTTATGTTTTTATTTAGTGTAACATTTTAGATTTGTTTAAAGGGATACTTCAACGAAATTTGAAATATTCCCGACGTGT